AAAAAAAAAAGAATTATAATTAAGTGAAACTGCTCCACGCGAAATTTGTGGCTGCGGAATAAGCAACTTCACGCCACGTAGAAATAAAGACATTCGCTAAAATTCCTCTAAGGCGTAAATGACGTAAGTTGAAACCAAAAGAACAATGCAAACAATTACAAAAATCACACACACTATATAAAGAAAAACAAACAACTTGAGGGAAGGGAAATAGGACTATAAAACACTTACATTGTTACGGCCACAAAATGAAGACCAAGATTGGAAAAGGAAAAGGACAAGCAAAAACCAGCTGTACAGAGTGCATTATTGAACTGCGCGAAAAACGCGAAAACAGGCATATTACTGCTATATGTACATCGATAAAAGAAGCAATGAGGCAGCAGTAAAATGAAAAAAAAAAAAGCACTAAAGAACTTTTGGGAGTGAAAAGACTTAAATAATGAACATTAAACTCGTAAAGAATCCAATACGAAAAATTGTCGTACTTCAAACTTACATTTTAGTTCAGGAGAGAGAGAAAGAAAAAAAAACGTGATCGAGAGCGGTACACAGAAATTAGTCAAAACCACCACACTGTTCTCGTGTGGTGGTTTTGATACTCTGTGCCAAGAGTTAAGTTATAGTGAAACGGAGCGACATAGTAACAATTGGCGAGTGGTTTCTTTTCCGCTCGCCATCGCTTGCGGCTTCAGCTGCTCTCTGTTAGCGGTTTCGTCCCCATACAAATAAAAAAAAGGAAACGAACAAACAAAATAGAAACAAAACAAACAAAAGAAAAAAAAACCCTCTTGCACGCAAAGTAGAAGTTAACGATACCGTTACATAATGTGTGGAAATAAAGCATGACGGAAAGTTGAAAATCAAAGAAGTTGGTTTGAAAAGATCACGAGATTATTTCTCAGAATAACTAGCTGTGGATTTGACACAAAACGACATTCTTACCTTCGCCGCCATGATAGGAGCGACGGCGTCGCCGTGTGACAACTCACGGGGTCCTGTGCTTGAAATCTGGAGGGGGGCAAAATGTTTCTCCTGGCTGCTTGTTAAACTTTATTGACCTCACTGATATTGGTTTTGTTTTACTTTTTGACAGCTACGATGATAGTTTAATGTCTAACAACATTATTTTAAGAAGGGAAAAAATTGGAGTTGGCTCCAACTTGACGCGTGACTCGCACTTGCCACGGGCTCAAATTTGACTCGTGGAATGGTGGATTTTTCTGATTTATAGGGACACTGTATACTAAGGATCTTAAGCAAGTTGGATGGAGCGCCATATCAACAAGG